AAAAGACGAAGAAGAAGATGCTCTTTAATTCGATCGGAAAAAAAAAAAAAAAAAAAAAAAAAGACCAAAACGAGAAACGTGAAAGGTCCGATACTTGGATTAATTAATAATAAACCAGGATCTTGTTAACGATTGGCAGGTTTCTTTTCTACCTCTTCATGCCGTCTGGCCTTTTCCTCCTCCCTTTCTTTTCTCTCCTTCTCCTTGAGTAAGCGCCAGGCTTCCTGCTCTTTCTTCTCCCTCTCCAGCCTCTCTTCCTCTCGCTTTTTCCGTTCCTCTTCCTGAACAAAAAAGCCAATTTGGGGGGGGGGGGGGGGGGGGAAGCCAACAAAGTCCAAGAGAGACACAGTAACAGCACGTGTAAGTCAATTGGGGAAAAACAAAATGAAAAAAAAACAAAAGGGAGAGACTTAAAACTTGAAAGTGTTCTTGTGGTATGCTGGTAGCTTTGGGGGGAGGACTATTCGAGTGGTTGGCCTTTAGGCATCTGATGAGTGTTGAGTGTCTGTGTGTGGGCTGTGTGTGTGTTGAGTATGGTCCGATGATGTCTAGGGGTCTCTCGTGTAATCATCACGGGTGGGGGTAGAGGGGATAGACGGGGGTGGGATGATAGACACGGGGGGGTGGGGAGGAGATGGGTAGATAGGACTCTGTGTAGGGATTGTGGGCCTGTCTGAGTGTGCCGCTTCGTTCGTATGGGCTGCTCTGTGGGTGTATCTGGGTGCGGCTGGGTAGCACGATTGTTTCCCGGCCTCATGATGCACCGACAAGAGTCCATGCCCACATCATATAATCCTAGGTCCCGGGTAGAGCCCGCTCTCTACACCCCCTTGAGTAGTGGTAGTGGTTGGTTGTTGGGCACATACGATTCCCACAGGTGAGCTTCAGGTTGATCTCATGATGCTTGTGGGCTGGGCTTCATCCGGGTTGGTGTCTGTCTCAGTTCCTGGGGCGTGAGTCTGGGGAAGGGCTTCTATGTAGGGTGTCATCTTAGGCAAGGGGGGGGGGAGGGGGTTGTCGCATTGATGTAGAAGGGTGGCTTTGCCACCCATAGAGTCCGCACGATGTGATACAGGGGGGAATGACGGTGTATATCCGTGACCCCTCCTGTATCCGGCTCGTCCTCGAGATTCGGCGTGACCCCCTGGTGGCGCCCGGGCGGAAGTGTCTACGACCCCTTGGAAGGCGCGGGTCGCTGTAGGTCTAGGTCTAGATAGAGAGGTCTGGGTCGCACCACCGTAGGGCTTGACTTGCGATAAAAGATAAGGATATAACAGGGCAACAATGACACCCCCTGGAGGAAAGACTGTCCTTGGGGTTGTCACACACCATCCGGCCCTCCACTGGTTGAGTACGACCACAGTCACCTCCCGACACCTAGCATCCACCCTCTACCCACGACATGGACCTTAAAAAAAAAAAAAAAAAAAAAAAAAAAACTGTTCTTCCACCAAGGATCAATGGATAAGGTACATTAGCTTGGTCACTTTTTTTTTAGTAACAATTGAAAAACTATATTTTTTATGTTCAAACTTGAAACTTCAAAGTTCTAAGTCACAGAACTGAGCAATCAACAGTCATGAGAACGTGCGAGGCACAAGGCCTCAATAAGCCCTACCAGGCCCCTATTTGCAACAGGTCGGCCGCCCTCAGTGAAGGCAGGCTCGACAGACGACAAGAGGCCTATTTTGGACTACTTCGCAACTGGGGTAAAATTTAGGCAGTTGCGCAGCGCCAGTTGGTTGAAGGCGCCCAGGCCCTGGCCTCCTTTATCAAATGTATCTAAATCAGGCCCTGGGCGAAATACGCAGCATGGACCCAACTCAGACTGTGGGCAGTTAGGCACAGATAACTGTCGGTGACCCTGGGCCTGATTCGTTTGGGCTGAGGCTCAGCCTCCCTGGGTCTACCGCAAGCTTCTGGGCTGGGGCCCAGGACCGCAGCACAGCACGCAGCAGCAGGCCACTTCGATATAGGGAAGGGCCTGCCCACGCATTGGACATGCGGGCACTGGCTGCATGCTGCGCAAGCGCTACTGCGCTAACGCTGGTCAGGCTCACGCGCTCACGGGCGAGCCGGAAGGAGCAGGCAGCCGTAGCCGAGCTGCGCTGCTGTATGCTAGATGGGGCGCATGGTGGTCCTTGGGTGCATGAGGCATCTGTTGGGGAACGAGGTTGTGAGTGATACGAGAGACATACCTGGTGCTTGAAGCGGACGGCATTGTCCGAGATCTACTCGTACTTCGGGAAGCTGTTGACGTCATCGGCAGCATTGTAGGGTAGGCTAGATAGGACCTGCCATCTGTAGTCTGGGCGCCGAGCGCCAGACAGGATATCAACATTGGTTCTTCGTTGATGATGATGAGACTATTCCAGCATTGTCAATTATGAGCTTTTGGTGTGCTCTTATTTGGTGAAAGTCGTGATGCAATTCTGCTATTGGTTCGAGGTCACAACTATCTGGTCTTATGTGTATGATGCTGTTTGATTTCTGAAGTTCGCTATTGCTCATCTTCCTTGCAATTTGGTATCAGAGCTGTGGTTCGGTGCTCTAATCTGGTGCTTGTCTTCTGCTTAATGCGGTACATGCACATGGTGTGTGCGGTGAGCAACCGTGCAGTGGGACATGTGTAGTGAGGAGGGCAAAGATAAGCAAGCCACCCAGCTGGAGAGGGGATCGCCAGGAAGGCTATGCGGTGATTATTGGGTGTTCGCAGTGTGATGAGAACTATGCGGTGAATGATTGATGCTGAGGTGGAATGGTGGTACAATGCTGGTTGTGCCGAAGCAGCGATTGGTCATCACAATCAACATTGGGTCATCTGGTGAGAATATCTGTGGTTGGGGGCAGCTATTTTGAGGTACGTTGCACCTAACCTTATGTTATATGCCCAGTTGGGCGATGTACATACAAACTGAGGATCCGCAATGTGATAAAAAGGACTGAATGGAAAATGCAGTGCAAGTAGAATCTCAACAAGCAATGTGCAGTCCGATACGTACAAAATGGTTCTTTATAGCGCAGGGAAGACTTTAGATACAAGTCCTGACCTGACCGAGACTGACCTCTATTACGTAAGACAAGACAGCACAGCAGAATGCTAGAATACCACTGACTAGCCCAATCACAGACCAAAGATGCATCATGTCCATCACAAGGTATGAAGGAGCCTGGCGCTATACACAGGAAAGAGGCGAAGGTCCAGACATACACAGACGAAGAGGAGGGGATCAGACGAAGAGGAGGAAGGGGGAGATGGGAAAGTTGTCAACACCAAGACTCGTTACAAGTCCCAAATAATCCCTCTTCAAAATGTCTGAAGTCCCATGTCGAGTCTCGATCCAATGTCGCCAAGCTCTCTCTCTCTCTCTCTCTCTCTCTCTCTCTCTCTCTCTCTCTCTCTCTCTCTCTCTCTCTCTCTCTCTCTCTCTCTCTCTCTCTCTCTCTCTCTCTCTCTCTCTCTCTCTCTCGTAGTCTGCTGATGCAGTGAAGTCAGATAGCGAGAGGGTGAGAGGGAGCTGGTGGACTGAGAAGAGGAAGAAGAAGAACTCTCTCTCTTTCACGAGCCAGGTACTAACCTGTGAAGTTGGCGCTGTGCTGCAGATACCTTGAAGACAAAGCTGGAGCAACGGCGCTGCAGGTAAGTCCTCCTGGCCTCCGCCCAATCTCTCTCTCTCTAGTACTACTCTAGCTGCTATGGCGCCCAGCGCTGAAGACTACCGCTAATGCTACTAGCGCCCAGCGCTGAAGACTAATGCTAACGCTACTACTAGTCCTGCAGCGCTCCTCCGGAGTGCTGCTGCCGAAGCCTGAAGACTACTGACTGCCTCCTGCCTACCCGTGAAGTGCATGGGAAGTCCCTATGTACTACCTCGGCCTGCCTCCTGACTGCCTCCGACTGCCTGCAGTTGCAGGGCGGGCAGTCCAGGAGGCTGCTCTTGCCAATGCCAAGCTGAGCCAGGGGCTGGCGCTGCAGCTGTCGTGGGAACAGGCCAAACATAGCCTGTTCCTAAAACCCTGGTTCGGTGCCTGAGTTTCAGGGCAGCTCGGTCTGATGACAGACCGAAAATGGCCCTTCGTTTCAGGCTAAAAAGGCTTCTGCCAATTTTAGTCTGAAACGACACAGGGTCTGTAGGCCCCTGTTTTTCAGGCTTTCGAGCTGAACAGACACGGGGGCTGTAGGCCCTGGTTTTCAGGCTTTCAGCCTGACGGACGCAGGGCCTGGAAAATGGCCCTCGTGTGCAGGCGCAGCATGTAACACCT